TTGTACACTCATCTAATAGTTCATTATAGATATGTCTATATAAAACATGTACCCACTATAAGTATTAATAAAAAGCTCAGATCAAAGAAGTCACCTTAATATTGAAAAAAAAAATTATATAATAAAAAATTAAAATAAATTAATTTAGTAACTCTTATAAATTATTTGTATCAAATTTTTCTAAAAATATTTATTATTTCTTAATATTTTACTAAATAAACCTTATTTGTATTTTTAAATAAAGTTGTTTAGCTTATTTTTTTATTTTTTAAACAATTAAGTTTCAGATTTTAATAATATTTAAATATCAAGAAAACATTTAAAAACTAAACTTTTAGTTTTTATCTTTTTTTAAATAATTTACTAAGCAAAAATATATTAATATCTAATAAAAATTGTCTAGCTTCTTTAAATAATAATCTTAAGATATATTTTATTACAAATAAACTAAAACTTACTAAGATATTAACCAAAAGTCAAAAACTAAAATCTGTTTTTATAAATTTTTTTATTAACAAATTTAGAATAATTCATTAAGTTGCTTTAGAAATTTTTTTTTTTTTAATATTAATAAAATTTTTTAAATATCTAGTTAGTTTTTTAAAATATCTTACATTTTTCAGATTCTCTTTAGTTTATTTACAAGCTTTTTAAATTAAAAACTTTTATCTAAAAACTAAATTATTCAAAACTTTTTTAAAAATTATTTTATATTAATACAAATATTATAATAAAATAGTTATATAAAATAATTAATATAAGAATAGTAATTCTAGTATAATAGTTGAGTTATTATTTTTTAAGTATTAGGTTCAAAGTTTAAATTCTATTAGTAGTAAAAATTTAAAAAATAGTCCTATTCTAGCAACTTGATTAGAGTATTTAGAGTTGTAATCTTATAATTCTAATTGTATTAAAACTAATTTTGAAAATAAAAAAGTATAATAACTTAGTAAAGTAAATAAATTGTCAACCTCTCAAGTAGTAGATTGTAAATTCAAAACCTACTAATAGTAAAAAATTTTGAATAATTATCTATGTAATATAAAAATAATATTATAATGCTAGCATTCTGTCAATCAGTTGAGATAAGATACCTGTAACTATAGTCATACTAGTATAACTGACAGATCACAGAACATTTGTATTACCTTAATTACACAAAGGAATATAAACAGTACCAGGTAATACAAACTTAAAATAAGTTCTTGTGATCATATAAATTTATAAAACTAGAAAAAACCAAAACTCACTTAGAAATTCTGAATAAAGAAATAGTACAGATCTTTAACAGTACTATTATAAAGACTAGACCTAGAAAACAGATATTAATATAAAAAAATTAGACAAACAAGAACCTCAAGATAAAAGATATTACCAACCAGACTGTCAGATTTCAAACTAAAGAAAAAGAATATTGGACCAGACTCGATATATAAATAACAGATTACAATCCTATTAGGCTATCTAAATTAAAAGTTTGAAAACAAAGCAAAGATATACTAAATGTATTAAAAATATATTGTGAAGTTAGTGCTAAGGTTTGGATGAACTCTACAAGAGTAGCTCTTGTTAATGTTCCTAAAAGTATATAAGTAGCTAACAAGAGAGACTTTTTGCATCTTACTGACAAGTAACATATTTTAAATATATAATAGTCTAAGAATTAGTACAAAAAAGATAGATATTATACTGTTCAGATAGTATACAAAATATACAGAGAAAATAGTAGTATTTATAAATAATAGGATGAATAATCAGAGAGTTTAAAATAGATAATCTTCTAGTAGATTATAGATACAACATTTAGTATAGAACCTTAGAGCAAACTACTTAAATAGATAACCAAAAGTTGTATATATAACTAGTTGTACTCTCTTTTCTGTAATTAACCCTAATAAAGTTAATAAAAAAAAATTTTTTGAAAGTATGCAATATTATACAAATAAATTTAAAAAGTATATACTCTATAAGAAACTTTATTTAAAAATTTTAAATAAAGAGATAATATAATCTTTAATAGTATTATTTATAAAAATTTTGATCTAAAGATAAAAAACCTAAAATAAATGATCTGTATAAACAAAAATTCTAATTAAAAGAATCCACTAATCTGATTATCAGTTAAACTAGATATAAAGTTGCATTATGTAAAACTAACTAAATTAGTAGTATAAAAGAACTTACAAGAGCATACAAAATATTGGTAAAGTTGTAAAGAGAGATACTAGAATTATATAAACTCTACAAAGATATAGCAGTTTAAAGATTACTTTGATTACAAGTGTTGATTTTAGCTATAATAATATTGAATTAGCTAAAAATTAGATAACAGAAGGCTTTAATAGGTTTAATATAAGATCAAAGGTTTTCTATATGATTAAATTACTTTAAAAACCTAGTAATAATAGTATATTTGTATATATTGGTAAAAACTAAGACAGTTGGTAGAATAAATAGCTGAATAAATACAAAAACTGGAATATTTAAATAGAGAACTCACAACCAGGTCTAAGTATAACAACTAGTGTAGAACTTTTAGATAGACTATTTAAATTAAATAATAACTAAAGTTGTACAAGTAACTAGTTATATACTCTTTCTATAATTGCTTACTGTGGCTATAATAATACAATCACAAAGTTGAAACATACTATTAATAAAAACCTGAAATATAAGTACTTACCTTTAATATTAAAAAATAAAATAAAATAAAATAAAATAATTAACATTATTACTATTAAACTAGACTTTTTTAATCCAGATACTTTTTAGACTAAATGCAGTAACTAAATTATAATTATTTTAAACAAAAATTACAAAAACTTTAAAATTCTCTTAACTAACTTTAATTTTATACTATATAATATTTATAATAGATCTTACTTTTTTTTTTGTTCTTTTTTTTTTGGTGTTAAAGTGACCTTTTTGATCTTTTGATTTTTTATTAACAACTTTTTTTGATAATATGATTTAATAAACCACTACAGGAAAGTGTACAATTGGTTACATATGTAACTTTCTATATTACCTATTTAAGGAGTCCATCTGAAGGTTCCCCACCAATTGCTGTACCTAACACCCCTGCTTGGGTGTTCTACTTTAAACCTTCTGAACCTGCAATCTGTGTTAACATCACTCATTTTAAAGTATGTAGAAACTGGATCTCTGTACAAAAATATTGTCGCAGTATCACAAATGAAGTGGAAAGATAAATTAAATTTATTGAATTGTATCGTATCTGACCTTTAAGTTATTCATTCAGAAGAGTTGTCTCATCGGGATCTTCACAGCAAAAATATTTTACAAGATGATTTACGTAGTGCGTATATCGCTGATTTAGGTCTTTCTGTATCATCTAATATAAAACAAGAGGACGAAATGTATGGAATTATGCCATACGTTGCTCCGGAGGTCCTAAAAAGAGCACCTTTCACACAAGCAGCTGATATCTATAGTCTTGGCATTATTATGACAGAGATAGCGACTGGAAAAAGAGCATTTGATGGTATATCTTTTGATATTGATCTTTCATTAAAAATTTGTTGAGGTGAACGGCCAGGATTTAATGAAGGAATTCCAGAATGTTACATTACATTAAGCTAAACGATGCATGGATCCAGATTCGAAAAAGCGACCAATAGCTACCATCATTAATTCAAAAATTGATCATTGGCTTGATGAGATGGAACAAAATAATGATAATGAAATTAAACGTCGATTCTCAGAAGCTGATAAGATCGATCTAAAACCGATTGAGCCAGAACACCCTTCACACATGTATACAAGTAAACTAATCAACACGCAAGAAATATCAAATAAATTATGTTCAAATTTGGCGATTCCTTATGACATTTAAATTTTATATTATTCAATCTTTTTTTCAAGAGGGCTCTATCTTACTTGAATTACTACTTTCTTCACTTCAATAGCATTTTTAGAGATTATCATTGAATTTTAGAGGTTGGTAGAATTACGGAAAGTTATCATTATGTTGTTATGATACTTCTTGGTACAATAAAAAAACAATAGAACATGAATTTTGTCAATTATTGCTTCCTAAATATGTATAAAGGATTAGGTGTTTATGATATTGTTGTGCCTGAAGCTAAAGTTGCACTTTTCTAAAACTAATAGCTAATACGTGCAAGATGATCTACTTTCAGGAACTAACTTCAGTCAAGTGCAGCTTCAGATAGGCATCAACTTTAGGCACGACACCAACAATCTGATTAACAATGTAAATGTTTTGGTACTCCAATTGAACTTATTATTAGTATGGTAATTCGACTATGAAATCAAATCATTTTAGAATATTTAACGTTAATCATGGAGACAAACGTAACAATTCTAAATTATTCATATGAATATAGGTCTTGTTTTTCTGATTTTGTTTGAAAACTATTCGTGAGAACTGTGTCGGAAAAAAAATAAGTTACACTTCATTTTTTGCAAAAGCTCTAAATTTCGACTTGTATATATTTTTGATAAACTTAATACATATTGTTACGAACGGAATTTGAATACAACGATAAAGATGAATTAATACAAAGAAAAATGAGGTAAGGCATGACGATGGTGATTTGGGTCGTTTCTTTATAATTTTGTAGTGATCCTTACGTGCTCTTTCTCACACATAAGAGTAACTAACCACTCTCTATGTTACACATTTTGAATAACTTAAAAGTATGATTAAAAGAGCTTTGACTACTGTAACGAATTGAAAATTTAGTTTCTAAATTTTTGTAAATAAAATCTTTATTTTTTCCTTATTTTCTCAATAATTTATCCGAATGCATAATAGATTTGACTAGTGATGGGGCCTCTCAAATTATTAATAATTAATAATTAATTATTAACATTTGGCGGAGTTATTAACTAAAAACTACTTCATAATGTATGGCTTAGTGAATTGATTTAAAACTATATAAAAACATTATAATAACCAAAAGTCAATTTATCTACGTGTTGAAAAGCTTGATTTCATTACGATTTTTTTGCATACAAATTAAGTCGTTGATCCCTGCGCTTTGTATACGTCCGAGAGATTGCGTATACATTCAAATTAATGTGTATTCGCTCAAATTTGTCCTATAAGATAAAAAAAATGGATATAAGCACTTCAAGTTCAATAAGAAAGAACAGTTCTCTCGTCCCTAATTAAATACCAATAAATAATAAAGTATATACGGTCATACTTCTCTATAATTACCTTGAAAAAATTTATTAATAAACTTATAAAAAATACTTGTATATAAGCATTCATCATAGAAGAATTCGACTTGTAACATTAATAAACCCATCGAGACTCAATTCGACGGACTGAATTGACTTGTAACCTCGACATGGATTATTAAAATTAGAATTCTAGAACTCTCGGAATCAAATATTGTCATTCCTGTTACCCGTTACTTGTGGAAATTGTGATAGAAAAAGACTTTGATCGGTTAGTATTACCCCAGAATTTATTACGTCATAAGATCTTGCGGACGCACGTTCGTAATCTGTGACAGGTTAAGCCACTGATTTCAATCACCGTCTGATTATGCCTTAAATCATGATGAAAAGCTGTTTAATTACGAAGTTAAAGTTGAATATATAAAAAACGATTTGATCGTATTTGATTATTATTTATTTTGTTTGCGATTTTATAAATTAACTTCTTTTTTTTTTTTATCTAACATGAGTAAAATGTGCAAATTAAAAGTTTAAATAACCTATCGACTTCTAATAAGATTTACTGTAAAAGAGAACCAATTTTTTAATAAAGTTTATAAAAAAAAAAATAAAAATTTAGTACGAAGGTACTTCAAATTCCTCGCAGGTTATACAAATTTGGATATATTTTAAAAAAAAACTTAAAAAACGGAATTAAAAAAATGGATGAGAACGATATTTCTGACATCACATCATTTTTAGTTCAAACTGTCAAAATATTAGGCCAACATTACGAACCGTGTTAGATAAATTCAAAGATCAATGTAATGAAACAAAAATAAAATCATCCGAATATTTTTCTTGATGATTTTAGTTGCGACTGTTCAATCAAAAGTGCTGCGAGAATGAGTTCACGAATAAATGATATGGAATTCAGCTCTTTGAAAGAGGTAGAATTGAGTAAAAAAAGCAACTCTTAAGTAAGAATGTGTTGAACAATAGCACGCTTAAAGAAACGACATATTGTTTGCTTTGCTTAAAAAGTAATTATAATATACTAGTGAAATATTTATGTGGTATTAATTATTTAATTTTAAAGTTTTTATTTTTTTATACATATAAATTTGGTTAGTCAATATCAAAAGGCAATTTTTGAATTTATAAGTTTTTTTTTTAATAGTCAATCGGACGGTGATGGACGTGCAGTCATGTCTTTTTTACGTACGTATGTACGTACAGTACTTTTTTTTCTTTATTCTTTTCGTCTTTACTATAAGGTAAGTATGGGTATTATGGCGCAGTACCTATTATGGCGCAGTTGTGATATCTCATGATCCAATGACCAGAATCGGATAATTTTTATACCATTAGATTCGTCTCATCGATACGAATCGATTGGTACAAAAATCATCCGATTCTAATCACTGGATCATAAAGAAACCAGATTTATAATTTAGTCTTCTTATAAGAAATCATCGTAACATGCAAAAGGTGACCTTTTTTACTAAGTAAATCGATCTTAGTGCATTAAGTAAAGTTGTTCGCAATGCAAAGTTCTACATAATATAATTTTTGGTAAATTTCAGATAACTTTTTATTAATACACTTTCTTTTTATACATTTATGCGCGCCAATGATATAATTATGGCACAAAAACGTATAAAACGAATGTGCATTAATAAAAAGTTATCTGAAACTTACCAAAATTTTATATTATGTAGAACTTTGCATTGCGAACAACTTTACTTAATGCACTAAGATCGATTTACTTAGTACAAAAGGTCACTTTTTTCATGTTATGATGACTTCTTATAAGAAAACAATTATAAATCTAGTTTCTTTAGTTAAATGAAGATATCTCATGATTCAGTAATTAGAATTGAATGATTTTTGTACCAATCGATTTGTATCAATGAGACAAATCTAATGATATAAAAAGTATCTGATTCTGATTACTGGATCACAAATTATTAACTATAAAATTTATATACACCATAATATTCTTATTATACTATTTATTATTATTTATTATTATTTTTTAAATGAATATATCTCATGATCTAGTAATCAGAATCTAATAATTTTTATACCATTAGATTCATCTAATTGAGATGAATCAATTGGTATAAAAATTATTCAATTCTGATTATTGGATCATAAATTATTGGTTATAGAAATTAAGTGTATTATAATATTCATACTTATATCATATAGACAGATTTGAACTAATTTAATCAAAGGTTTATGCAAAGCAATCAATCATAATTTAATCATATATCAGACAAATAGATTAAATGTCTAGTGGGTCTAGACTAGAAAAACAGACATTGTTATAAATCTAGAGCAAATTAAAAAAAATTGTCTAATCATTTTTATGATTAGTTATGTGAACAAAATTCAGTTAATATGTATTATGTAATTTGAAATAGTACATATTTGTGCTAACATAATCTGTAAATAAATCAGGTTTTATTACAGAAGTATATATAATAGCATATTCACATATTAGAATTAATTCTGCATAATTAATAGAATATAATTTGTATATAAAATAATATAATTTAGTTTTTATCCAAATAAGAAAATAATTAAAAGTTTATTGTTAAATATGAAAGAGCAGAGTAAAAACTTGAATTGTAAACTAGCAAGATTTACTATATTAAATATGTACTTAACAATACTAGTTCACAGCTTAGGTTTTTATTCTATTATATAAAATAATTAATTTAAAGAAAAATAAATGCTTCAAAAAAAATTAGTAATCAAATAAATAAAAAAACTATAAAGTAAAATATATTCTGTTATTAAGTAAAAACTTATAAATTTTTATGTTTTTCACATTATAAAATTGAATTCACAAGAAAAAAGTCAAGTAAAAATTAGTAATCAAATAAAATATATTTTATTATTAAGTAAAAGTTTATAAATTTTTTTACAATTTATATTGTAAAATAATTTACCAAAAACAAATTGAATAAAATTAAAAATCAAATAAAATTAGAATTATATAAATTGTTTTTTTTTTTTTATGAATATTAATAATGATTTTTTTTAAAGATTATAAACTTGAAAATTCAAAATATAAAAAAATTTTATATAGATAGTCAAAAACTGGTTTGTACATTTTGTTAATATGTTGTAGACTATACAAAAAAATCTATCTTAGATTCATATTTAAGATCAGATAAACATAAAAATAATATTAATAAAACTAAAAAATTAAACCTAATTTGTCAAATAACTCTTAATATAGCTAGTAATAATTTGAATAAAAAAGAACTTATTAATATTAATTTAGTATATATATTTGCTAAAACTGATATTCCTTTATAAAAAATTAATAAACTTAAATTTTTTTTTTTAAATATTATAAAAATAGTAAAATATTTAAAATTTTTTATTTATTAAAAATTAATTTAATATATATGTATGATTTTATTTAGATAGTACTATTGTAACTTTGAATTAACTTTTTATTAAATATTTACTAAAGGTGTTTAATATAGAGTTATTAAAATTATAGAATCTTTTAAGAGATAAACAAATTTTTATTACTATTAATAAAACTATAAATTTATATAGCAAAACAGAAGTTAATATATTGTTTAGTTTTAATAATCAAACTAAACTCATTAGAATATAATTTATTATTATTATTAATAGTATTTTAATTACTCAATTAGTAATAAAAACTTTATAATTTTATAATATTTTATTTAAAAATTATATTTTTTTTATTACTAATAATGCAGCATATATGCTAAAAGCCTTTTAAATTATATCTTTATTAATTCTGCAATTAAAACATAATTATTACTTAGCTTATATTTTGAACTTAGTTAGAGAAACATGGATTTATTATAAAAATTTCTAATTTTTAGTTGCTATTATTAAAAATATCAAAGCTTTATTTATTTAATATTTATCTTATAAAAAACATTGAATTAGTTTTTTAAATCTAACAATGATAATAATAATATAAATAATTAAATTAATTTACTACTATTACTAGATAAAATATGATAAAATTTTTGGTTTATATTTATTTTTTAGATAAATCAAAATATTAACTTATTATGATTATTTTATATTAAGAAAGAACAAATTAATAATAAAAATCAAACAATTAAGAAATTAACAATTATTTTTAAAAATTATACAAATATTTTTATTTTTAAAGTCTTAATTATATTTATATCATTTATTGCAATATAGTAGATATTACTGTATTAATTTATTTATAAAAAATTAATCTAACTTTATTTTATTTCATTTTATAGAAGATCTTGAATTTTTTGAAACTAAAAATAAGACTGTTGCATCATTTATTACACAATACTTAGCATATCTTAAAACTTTATTGCAATTAGGCATTATTAAATCCTCTATTAATGATAAAATAAAATCTAAATTTGAAGATAACTATTTTGAAATAGAATCATATATTAAAATATTTTATAAAATATATCAACTGGCATTTAATAAGCTCAAAAAACATGTCAATTAACACCTCACATTGTTTTTATTTAAAACTATTTAGTGCTTTAATTTGCAGTTTATTCATGTTAAACAAAATCACTAAAATAGTTCTTTATATTCAGAAATTTCTAAATTTAAGTTACTAAATAATCACATTATTCAAAAATAGATAATTTATTATAAATTAATTAAGAATTTTTCTAATACTGAAAATTTTAATTTAGATCTTTATTGAAAAGAAAAAATTTGAACCTTACTTAATTTATCAAAACTAGCTTTAAACTATATTTGGTACTTAGTATTAAGTGTAAATATAAAGTAAAGTTTTTTTATATAAAAATATTCTTAATGATAATTAGTATTTATTTTTTGAAACATTTATTGCAGCACTAAATTTTATTTATTTCAATAGCAATATAGAAGAATAATTCAAGAATAGGTAAATAAAAACAAGAATATTAGTAATTATATATATTAAAACTATACTAAAAGTATAATTAAATATCTTTTTAGAATTTAATAAGTTGTAATTTTTTTGTTTTATTATTTTTTTTTAAAAAAAATAACAATATAGATGTAATTTTTTTTATTTTTATTTTTATTTTTTATTTTATTTTTTATTATTTTTAATAAATTGTTTAAGATTTAAAAATTAAAATGTTAATGTTTTAAAAAATAAAATTAAAGTTTATTTTATTTGTAGTCAAAAATTTGTTATATATAAAATAATTGCATATTTTTATTTATAGTCATATATCTTAATCTGATTTGCATTATTTGTAGTATAATTCTAAAAAATTTAATATATAATTTACATAAATCAATTTGTAAAGCAGACAAAATTTGGAGTTTATTATAGCAGAAAATGAAGATCTCTATATATGATATTATATAATTATATAAGCAAACAGATAGACAAAATTTGATTCAAACATTTAGTATATATTATGTGATAATATATAATCTCATAGATGAACAGATAGACAAAATTTAACTTAGATATCTAATATGTATTATATGGCATCACATGGTCATATAGATGAACAGATGGATAAAAGTTGGTTAAATATCTGAAATATAAGTTCTTTACTATACTTCAGATAATTAAAAAAAATTATTCAATCATTTTTATAATTAGTCATGTGGATGAATAGGCAAACAAATTTCTTGGTATATTTACAAATATGTATCAAAATTCATGTACCTATTATAAACTAAAACCTGTCATATGCAAGTCTTATAATCTGATACATGTTTATAGATGTGCTGCAAATTTCTGCTCAAGCCTCCAATATGTGTAGATGCAAAATATACATTTTTAATACTCCTACATCTATCTTTTTAATACATTTAAATATATTTTAAAACTAACTAATGAGCTTATATATTATTATATTAAAAATTAGTAAAAAGTATAGAAATTTTAACAGAAGTATCATAAATGAATGTTTGCTATGCAAATCATTTATAATGATTATGTGTGTAAACAGATGAACAAAATGTTGCTAATAACTTGAAATGTAAGTCCTCTACTACACTCTGAACTTGTACATGTAAGACATAGACAGAAGTTTGTTTGATTGGCTAATGCAAATCAATTGCTCAGGTAACTTATTTATATACTTTAAAGTACTTTTTGAGAATGTAATGTTTTACTAATAAAAACTAATTTTTTTTATATATATTGTTTCATTTTAATGCTAGAAAATCACTTTTAAAAATAATCTTTTATAATCTAAAATTTAAGAGGTGTTAGTTTAGTAACGACTTTTTTTAAAATAGGCAAAAAAAAGCTTGAAGTTAGTTTTAAAATACTTTTTTAAAACAGAACATCTTACTACAGCACTAATAAAAATCATTTCAAGATCTATTTGTAGCTTCAAAGCACTGTCAATATTCACTATGCAGAAAGATCTCACTTCTGATGAACTTTGCTTAGAAGGCAAAATATAATAAATATATCCTGTCTATTTGATCTTGCAAGTGGAATTTATTAAATCTAGGTGCCGCGCGGTTGAACATCAATTTTGATTGGCCAACGGCTGTGATCGACAAAATTTTGGTCCGCATTATACATAATTTTGGCCGGAATTTATTTTTTTAATTGTTTAAGGTTTGGGTTTGTGTAATGATAAAATTAACCCAGGAACATATTTCACTTAAGGTTGAAACTTACATTTTACAAATTTACAATATATGTAATTCCACGGGATATATAATACCTAGAGATGGGTAAATCGTGGTTTCTCCAAACATCCCGCGCGGGATTCAATAGAAATATATTTATAGTAGGTTTTATTAACAATTTTAACTCTTTTAATAGCATAATTGCTAGTCAGTTTTGGTTTAAGAATATGAATTTGAAATTTTTAAACCCTAATTTCACTTAATGGGCGGCCACAATTTCTTTACTAAAAATTCGAGTAATTTTACCTAAATTTTTGGTCGTTGCCATTGGCCAATCAATATAGTGAATTTCCACATATTTTTTGTAAGGTTTAATAGCAGTAATTACATTAAGCACGTCCTTGGTTAAAGGTTTCATCTGATCCAATTTTTGTAAGATGATTCCAAATATTATTATTACTACGCATGTTATTTATTTTTAAAAGAGTGACTTAATCATAAAGAATATTTTTGTAATGTAAGCGAAAGATACCAACGGCAAAGAAGGTAAATTCTTATCATATATATAAATAAAAATATGTGTGAAATGGTATGCAAATAAATAATTAGGAATTAGCTAAATATGTTAATGCAGGTCAGATATTATACTAATGCTAGCCAGATATTATGGTAATGCCGGCCAGATAATCGTATTTCGGGATCATATTAAAAATCCCGCGCGGATCACGCGCGTGCCCATCTCTAGGTACAAGTTAGTTCTTTAATGGTAAAAAGACTCGGGTTTAATGTTTAAGTTTGGTTCGCTCCTTTAGTATGTTTGGGATTGTTAATTGTAAAATTTTTGGATTATATTGTATATTGTAGATTCTTCAATGATTTTAGGTTTAATACGTAGTAATAAACATCATATTTGTCTTGCTCTACGCGTATCTATCTATTCTCTAAACATATGTGATAAATCCTTTGTGTGTATTTATTGGTTTGTAAACTTCTTTGCATTTTTTTATTTTCGATATTAACAGTATTAAACGATAAAATTTTTACAAATTATACAATTTGATTGGTTAATAATCACGGGAAATCACGGGTGGATCTATAAAAATTAACCAATCAAACAAACTTCTGCCTATATACATGTATGTCCTCGCTACACTTCGGACAATAATTATTAGTTTTATTAACGTGATTTATTGGTCTATTTAATTTTATTACAACATGATTATAAGATATTCTATAGGGATTTGTTTATTGGTACGTAAAAGATTTATTACTCTCCGTTAGAATTAGGATTAATTAGTATGTTCTGGCATTATTTAATTATAGACATTATTATACTGTATAAATTCTTTTATCTTTATTTTTAACATGAAAAGTATGCCTCATGTCTACGCACAGTTAATTACAGACAATTTTTAGAATGGAACTTGAAAAAAAATTGATCAGCAATAAAAAAATCTTGATAAAAATATATACATTCACAAGAAAATAGAAAATTTGGGATCAAACATATCAACTTTTACATATAAATGATAAGACAGAGCAACTATTGGCATCATTTAATCGTTTAGAACAAGTTAACATGTTCGTACGTACGTACATCTGTTAAAAAGAGGAAAACTTTATAACTTATACGTATATGAACAATTAAAAATGACGAATAAAAGACGAAAGAAATGACTGTAAAAATAAGTAACATACATATTATCATTTATATAAAATATCATTTCCCATATTCACGCTGCGTGAATAATTTCTTTGGCATGGGTATGAGTATGATCTAATTTAATCAAAAGGTCTTAATGACATGTGGCCGTCATTCTTCACCTTTATTTCTCACACAAAAGATACATACGCATTGTCATTTCTCTTTCTAATGACAAAAGCCCGTTTTGGAGCAGTATCGGTCGTTTTTGTTTGAGAACTTCCGCAATTACAAGTTGCTCCACATTTACAAGAATCACCGCAGTTACAACCACTTTCTTGAGATGACATTTTTAATGAATAATTATGTTTTTTCCTCTTAATTATGAATTAGCAATATTTTCGTTTTATTTAACGGAAGGGTAAAGAATTTTTAAAGATCTTATATATATATTTTTTTTTTCAAATGCAAAAAAATATCAAATCCCATCTCATCTATAACCGGATATAACAGGTAGACTCCATTAAAAGATGTATTGGTCCCTTAACGTTAATATCAAATAACAATAATATTTAACGTTAATACCGATTCTAAGTTGAGAATGAAACAATTATAATCAATTTTAATTAATGGCATGAATTTCACAAACAGCAAAGCATTTGATTCCTTATTCTTGTGCATTCCGATTGGTAATTTATATTTTATTGAGAACACAGCATCTTTTAACAATATTTTAACGCCAAGTTTCTCCTTAGAGTTAATTTTTAAACACCATAGAGAACTGTATTGCATAACTATCGTCGGATGATACTGAATTTGGAGGTCCGACTTAAAAGTACGTACAACCCTTCTAATATCTATTTATACTCTTTTATTAACAACTTTAAATGCATTTCAAAAATTTTTTTATTAAAAATCGTACATGAAATAGATCTAAAATTTAGCATAATCCACAACAATTATTCAGAAAATGTATCAGTTTTATTTAGGTCATACAAACTTAAAAAATACCAAAATTTTTAAAAGTGACCCGGCAACCCAGATTTTAATTTTATTTTCAAAAAAATTATATATATAAAAAAAATATATATAAAAAAGAAATTTCTTAGTTTACACGTAATATACTATTATACTCAATCTACCTCTTATGAGTTCGGCATAACTAGGGATGATTAATGACCACTGGCTTTGTTTCGAATAAATATAGGTACCAAAAAGAATTTAAAATTATGATTTTTAAACAGCATCAGGGTGCAATACGGAATTACCTATCTAATTAGCACAAATAGGCTATTTTTATCGGATCTAGGAATATTTCTGTATATAAAATTGCATCCCTGACGTTTTTCGTTAGTACACCAAGATAGGTTTAGACGGCCGTTTTCCATATTTTTCGTGCTTTTCATTTTTGTCCGGGATGGTCTTCGTGATCTGCATTATGCTGGCCGTTTCCGGAAATTTTGGACTGCACCCTGATTTTTACGAGATAGATCACTTTAGCGTTTAACAAAAATCAAGATATTTACAAGCCAAGTTAACAAAAGTCAAGATTTTTACATGCTTGTACTCACATACATAAAATTTCCAGCGTTACTACCAATCAAGGATGCAGTCACATGGTATTCCGACTTTATAACTAAGGAAAAATTCGAATCCAAAAAAATTTTTTTATCAATCCTTTATTATTTTGTTTTTTTAGAAGGAAAATCTTAATTGTTTTCTAAAAGATGAAACTACTACTATTAGACCCGAATAAATAGTTAGACATATTCCTGACAGGGGTACCGAAAAATTAATTGCAACATAATTTTTATGTAATTACGATCAACTAAAATTGTTTACTATAAATTTCACGATAATGTAAAAATTTTAACTGAAAAAACTGATTATATACAGAATTACATTGCAATTAAATGTAACCGTATCTAAATGATTCATTAAATTTGTATAATCCTTTACTTTTTTTTTGATTATCGGCTGTGATCCGGAAAAAACATAAATTACCATCATTTGAAGGTCTAAAATGTAACATTTGTTCCACTGGTCAAATAGGTCATTCGATAACGTATAGCCGTTTAGCATTTTTGATACTTCTGCACCTACTTTTTTGATACATCTAAACGTACCCTAAAATCTCTATACTTTTTACTAACTTCTACTATAATAACGTGCGATCTTATTGGTTAGTTTTAGGTATGTTAATATGTATCAAAAAAGTAGGTGTAGAGCATCAAAAAATGTATACTTTGCAGCTAATAAAATGCACACGTGCGGACGGATTGTGCTCATTTATGATATCTACTTATGATTACCAATACTTATGTATTTGTATATGGCGCACTTAGATATCACTAAATAAGCTGATATTAATCTTGTTACTCATTTACCGTATTTCAATCATCTTTGGATGAGCACAACCCGCCCGCACTGTTTATTAATTCACCCAAAGTATCCATTGACATTTTTGATTGGACGAAATCTACCTTAGTAACGTGATACTGTTTCTAGCCAATCAGGAAGCAATATCAAGTGTAATGTGAAAATTAAATTTTTGATATAATGTTGCCCACTAATCTTAACCCAACTCCAACTGGTTCATCCCAATTTTGCTGACACCGCGCTTATCTGACAACGCATTCCACCGACAGACCATTTCCCCGACACCCTGCTTTCCAGATTTCACTTTCCCGATAGTTCATTTCGTCGGCAACTTTGGCCCGATTTTTGGTTAGGGTTGGCCGCTTTATAGTTAGTAATGGCTAGAAATAGATTGTGAAATAGAAAGTCTGCAAAATAGAATTGTCGGCAAAATGAACTGTCGGTGAAAATGTGTTGTCAGAGAAGTGAGCTGTCGGTGAAATAGCCATCAGTGAAATAGGTGATAGGTGTCGGTGAAATCTACCAAATCCCTCAAACTATACCACATTATAAAAAGATGGCATAGAAGAAACTTGAGGAGAAATTATATAGTAAAGGCAATATTGATTGATCAACAAAGGCAATGTTCAAAATCTTAATGAATTAATTAAAAAATGTAATATAATTAATGGATATAACGAAAGATATTTTAATTGATAATAATAATAAATGCTTATTTCTTTTAGAAAACAATTCTTTATATATAAAAAATTATTTGAATATAGAACTAAATTTATCAAAAGTTAATTGATGAATTTAGAACAAATTTAAAAGTGTGGAAGAATTAAATTCATTTAATAAAAATCAATTATCAACATTGTAAAAAAAATATTATACCTATATTTAAAATATTTTACTCGAAATTTGTCTTTTAATCCTTCTTCATTTCCACCATATTGTCTCTTAAGTTTTTCTAAATAACTAAAACATTCTAAATCAAGAGAAACACGATTATATTTTGTTAATCTACCTCCATCTTCATCAATCCAAAAATATATTTCATTATCTTGATGATCAAAATCTAAACTTTCTATCAATTTTGTTTCAGATGTGGATAAACCACGTGATAAAAATATTGTAAAGAAATGGTTAAATGCATTAGGATATTGTGATATTTTTTCGAAAATATCAATGTTCCATAATTCAACAAAAGTATCTATTAAAGATTTAACTGGTACTGTAACGAATATAATATTAAGAAATTGTGAAAAAAAGATTGATATAAATAATAAAGATAAATAAATCGGGTGTTGTTCTAGTAAACTTTTTAAATCGACAATATTAAGGTTCATAATACCATATACTAACAAACAGTATGAACTTAAAAATGATATTAATAAATATGCAAGTTTTTTGGAAATTAAAAATTGAACAACTGCACTTAAATATAATAAATAAGATGCTAGTTTGAATTTATCAAAAGATTCATTAAAAGAAATTGTAATAATGAACGTGAAAATAGCAATAATTGTTGATATAAAAGATTGATAAATAATTCTTTTCCACCGAAAGAATAAAAATATCAAATAAAATAAAATTGCGTAAAGAATACAAACTAAGGGGAAAAGAACTAAAAACACAATTGTTTTGATAATTTTAATTCCAATTCTATCATTTTTATAGTATATAGAAATGTCTGATATTTCAATCATTATTAAATATTTAAATATTTGTTTAATGAATTTTGGTTTAATTTCTAATGATTCCAAGGGTTGTTTAATTAATTCAATTTCATTAGACATTTTTTCGATTTTTTTGAAAAAATATTTTTTAATTTTGTTTAATTTATATATCGTGTTCGTTTTATCTTTACTCTCGTGCCAGCTGAATTCATTATTGGTTTGACATTACACGACATAATCTTAATACTGTAATATGCGTGTTCATACGTAGCATGTTCATAACATGCATAACTCAAAAATACTTATTTATGCAAGTGATAAAAATTCAAAAAAGGAAAATTAACGTAAAGTAGGGTTTCAGAATTAATGACTCCGATTGTTGCTGAACACAAAAAAACCTTTATTATGCTTTGCAAAAAAATATTTGTCCTCTGTCACGCAAAGATCGGAAATTTCGTAGATTTTAAGAATTTTTTTAATGATTTAAAAACAAATAAACCAAAAACCGGTATAAAATATAACCGATCGAGATATGGATTAATAAACAATTTAGAATCTCAGAAATTTCCGATTATCCTCTCAAAAATCACGAATATAGTAGTTAAGAGGCCCTTTTTTTAGAACCCTATCAGGAACAGTACTGAAGATCCATCAGGAACGGTATTTTTGCGCCATCTAGAATGGCAAGTGCAAATTCATGAATTTGATTGGACAATGGAAAATATATTTATTAATGCGCTGCATAAAGTATGTAAACACTATTAATGTAATTGAATTGGTATATGTATAAATATTAAACCTTCTACGTAGTAATAAGTAAATAAATTGATAAATGGATTAAAAAAGTACCCCCTTGTTGAAGTACTCATTTGCTGTCAATGTTATCAAATCAGTTCTAAAGAGGGTACTAATTCATTTTTTTGAGGCCTAATAGTATAAGAAACTGAGTTACTCTTTGTTGTAAATTACGATATTATTTATGTTTTTAATGATAGAAAATAACTCATATGCTACGTTCCTGGTTTGAGCGCGACTACGTCGCAGCTATAGTTATTTTAAAGTTTATCTACCAATCGAAAAATGACTAACATACTCATATTAGTATTAATTATTTGTCCGATGCAATACCTCAAATAGCTATGATTAAAAAAAAATTTTTTTTTACAAAATAATAAAAATTATATAGAAAGTTAGATTAAAACTTACTTTATTTAATTTAAATAATTAATCAGGATTTTACTTGACATTAAAATTAAAATTTTTTTTAAGGTAAAAGCAAATCTTTTTGCACAGGCCCATAACTGAAATGCACTGGCCATAAATGAAATGAAAATAAACAAAGGATAATTATTATGAACATGTTAAAAACTCTGATTTATAGTGTAAACGAAATATCCAACCTACAATATTTAAAAGCGGTTAATTTATAATATTCAAGAACGACCAATTTATAACATATAATAATACCAGCTGGCCATGATTAAAAATAGGTCAGTCTCTACCGTTATAAGGCTTTGAAACTTTTAATCAAACTTCGATTATTTATTGGACCATATCATAGTATATCTTGTTGCATAAAATTATACCGACTTACTAAAATTTTCGTTCAAAGTTGTTATATGTTAAATATTAATATTATAACCAAATTGATCAAATATAGACTTCGAATTTGGGAAATTGTTCACATATGGGCTGCCGTCAATAGAAATCAAGCAAATCTACATTTAAAAAAAAATTAATGCCTTAACTTTCACAACTCATATCTCGATGGATTTTAAAGCTATCTTGATGGTTTAGTATTCAAAAGAAAGCTTAGATCGTAAGCTTCCTTTTGAATATTAAACCATCAATATAGCTTTAAAATCTATCGAGATATAAGCTATGAAAGTTAAGGCATTGATCTTTTTTTTAAATGTAGATTTGCTTGATTTCTATTGACGGCAGCCCATATGGATATTTTCATACCCAATTATTTCCCACTCAGTATAATCTTCACCACCAATAGATTCAGATTTAAACGTTTTATTTATATAATGGCCCTTCATTCCATTTTTAGTACCGGATGTGATTTTAACATCAACACTCTGCATATGAGAGCTACCTCCAGCTTCCAATTCAACATTACTATCCTTTGAAACTTCCTCTAAAATTCAAAATATAACAATTTAGTTAAATAAAGCATATATTTGTTACAAAGAAAACAACATAACTACCTGAGCTAAAACTACGAGTTTCTGTTTTGAATGTAGCACTACCAAAGACAAGTCTGTGCGCATAAAAGTTACCATAATTTTTTGTGACTTCACAAAGTGCTTCTATTTTTTCAGAATTTGTATTTTCCATTAATGCCTTTTTTACGTCGTCAATAAACTTAGAAGTTGGTTGATACAAGAATCTAAAAAGATTTCTGCCTTTTTCCATCCCTCATAAAAATTTTTAGTAGATGTTTTAAAATGGTTAAGCTTTTGTTTGCCATTCTTACTTGACATTCTAAGAAAAGCAGAAAACCAATGCAAATCAGCCCCGAAATTTCCAGCCACTGTGAAATTTTTGTCGTAAAAAATATCGTTTTCATGGTTGATTTCGTTATCAAATCCAGATTTTATTTCTAACAATTTCAATTCAGGTAAATTTAATTCAGGTTTGAGTGAAATCTCAAATGCCGTCTCAGAGGCAGGTCTAACTGATTTATCATTACTGAATTTGAATCCTCGTTTACATTTTCTAATTAGTTGAGATCGTATTTTATTCAAAGATTTAGATTCAGTAGATTCATCAACAAGCATGAGAGCTTGTTGCATTGCATCAGATTTAGATTCAGTAGCTTCATCAACAAGCATGAGAGCTTGTTGCATTGTATCTATTATATGACAAAATCTTTTTAAATTATCTTTCGTTAATGATGTAATGTATTAATCAACTACAAGGAAATGGGAATGTACATGGCAAATTTCTTAATTTATGCGTGTATGTACGTACAATATTATCCGTTTAACAATAAGTACAATATTAATTTATCTATATATAGCGCAATTCAAAAAAGTTTACAAAGTTTGGTAGGTACGCACTTACGTATGTAGGATTAACTCCAAAATATATATGATATACGTAGTACGTGATTTGAAAAGATATCATATGAATAAAACAGGAGGAACCATCAATATTACATGACTAATCCAACAGGTGAAGGATTATAACCGTAACATGGACTAACAGATAATAATTTATGTGCTGCACATCAGGTGTGTAACCTCGACGGTTCCTCCTGTTATATAAACAATCGGCAAACCTCTACCTTTCAGTTTAATTGGCAAAATCGATTAAAATTTATAGAATCATGTCTACAGAAGGAAATCAAAAATCCAAAATTTTAAATCATGGTATATTAATTGGTAAACATGGATTACGAATTGCTGATGAACCAGTATATGAATTTGAAAACCAACCTAGGTTTTCGGAATATCCAGATATAAAATCTCAAATAAAGCTAGTATTCTCTACAAAGCGTGAAAAAGCATTTCTGTTAAATATTTATATTGATCCCTCTGATATTGATTCAGAATATTATCATTAGTTGTCTGATATTGATGGTTTTTTATCAAATGAATCAAATAAATCACTTGTTTATCTAGGAATACTATGCCCAAGAGCAGAATTAAATTTTGAAAATAGAAACATAAAGCCTTTAGAGAAACTAAATAATGCAATAATAAATGCACTGAATCATCACAATCCTTATCATGAGTTGTTGAAAGTATTTAAAACTTATGGCCATTTTTTACCAAAAAGTATCATGTTGGGACATGAATTATATAGAACATGTTATTTAAATATGAAGGAGGGCTTACAAGAACGCAATGAAGTTTTGGAAGATTTTGACCTTACAACTTATAATCATATCCTGAATCAATGGGAAAATTATATAAAACTACATGATGAAGATGATATTGATACATCTTTTTTAATATCAGTCAATAACGATAAGGTTAAAAGAGATCAACTTGAAAAATGGATAGATTCTTGCCTAAAAACCAAAATCAACTCATGGAAAGTTATAAATTGGAAGGGACTCTATCCACTATATAAAATATTAGATGAAAGACTTCAAAAAGATATTAAACAGATTCTTGAGGTTGGTGAAACAAAAGGAAAAGAAAGAGTACTTATGACTGGAGTAATTCCAATTAAAGATTTCAGCTGTTATCATCGTGTAAAATTTTCTGTTGATTTGGATTTTAATGATTATAAAATTTTTGGAAAACTTGTGACGAAAAATGGTGAACAAATTGATACAGTTATCAAGTTTCAATCTATGAGTATATCTGGATTTTCAGTTATAATCGACAATTTCGATACAAATAAGTATGTTTTTCTTTTTAGGCAAAAGTGTGTCATATATAATTACTTTTCTTTAACATCATTTATTTAGAATATTTACGGATTCACAAATAACTTGGGTAATGATTGGAATGCCTTCTGAAATTGGATTTTTTAGCATAAACACGCGAAATCTTTCTGTATTAGCTTCAGGTAGCCACACATTCAAGTATAATGAGGATTATAAATATGCATTGTCTGTTCCGAAAGAATTTCCAGAAACCTCTATTATTTGTGTGACCATCTTTCACCCCTCATCACATTATGAAATGAAATGTACTATTCAGGATAGCAATAAAAATGGAAATGAAATTAATATAATAATCAATGAAGATAAAGTAGAGTATTTTAACAGCGATGAAAAGATCAGCAGTAATGGTGATGAAGAAATCAGTAGTGATGAAGACAATGATGACAAAATACCTGAAGACGATCTCTTCAGTGGTGTTTTCTTTCTGGAAACCAAAGAATTATAAAAACTGACATTAATTCTTTTTCAACTAATACGACAATAAACATAAATACGTTAGGTCAAATATATGAAACTGTTCCTTCTTTATCGAATGAGCCAATTATAGATATTATGCTATATGTTGCTGAAACTACAGCTGAAATCTTGGCACTCTATTCTCCTTTAATCAGCACAATAAAAATTATAGTTCGTGAAATTAATAAGATTTATAAAAATGTTGAAAGTAATAAAGAAATTTGCTTGATTATGACAAATCGAGTGAATTTAGCAGAATATGCTATGGATATGATGGTGAGAAATATAGAAGAAAATGATGAAAATTTTAGTAAAACAGACTATTATTTTTCCTTTGAAAGCTTCAAAAATACTCTGACAAATATAAAAGTGTTCACCAATAAAATATCCAAGTTTATTCAGTATAAACAATATAATAATGAAAGGGAGGTTAAACGTAGATATGAAAGCTTAACTAATGACTTTGATAAGTGCATAAAGAAACTACAGCTTCCTAATATGGTTAGCAGCGAACTTGACAGAGCTATGGAGGCAACAAAAGTAGATAAAGCCCTAGATATTACTGAAAAAGTATGATAATTTAGAAATTTATATTATCACAAATCGTTGCTTATTATTGTTATTGTTACAATTTTTTTAAAAAATCTATTTTAGGCACTTAATAAACTTAATTATTCGGACCAAAAACTTGATGTAATAGCGAAGTTACTGGAGCCTCAAGAAAATAAATCACAAAATGACATCAAAACACAAAGAATTGATCCAAATTAATTGAGTGAACCATTTGCAAACCCTTTTGTAACTCGTATCCGTAATAAAATCATTAAGAAAATTTATAAAGGGAATGAAGTTGCATGCAAACCAGTTATATATTCTCCGGATCAATTATCGATTCTTAAAAAATTACAATCAAAATTCATTATCCAATTTTATGGCCTTTCAACGAACGATGGCAGTGAAGTTATGGTCTTTGAATGGGCCGAATATGGAACTTTAAAGGATCTTTATGAAGGATATGATATACCTTGGACTAGAAAATTACAAATTATTCGAGATATTTGCAGTGCTCTTGTATTTTTACGTAGAATAAATATTTATCATCATGATGTTAGATGCGAGAATGTGTTTGTAAGTATTTTTAAACAACTAATATGACACCAATTTACTTGCTTTCTATATTCTTGACACCTGTGAGGTTGTAAAATTCTTAAATTTCCTCTTCTCAGAGTAAATAAAAAGTGAAACAATTATTTTGAACGAATATTGAGATATTAATTTGTTAACATTATGCTTTAGATACTACATAACTTGAATCCAAAACTTGGAAATTTTAAGTATTCACGCGAAGTAGAAGACTTAACCACGGATCTTAAAAGCGTTCTACCAAATATTGTTCGTTGGATGTCGCCCGAACAGATTGAGAAATATACAAAGGCAAATGACTATAAACATAAGAAAGAAAGATATTATACATTTAACAGCGAAATGTTCAGGTGCCTATCGTCAATTAACACAGTATTAAAGATCTTTTTATGCAAAAATTGACCTTATTTATTAATAATTGTTCATTATAATTAGTTTTGGAATGCTTATTTGGGAACTTTGTTATGAACAGTTTCCTTATGAAACTTTTAACTTCAGGGAAATAATGCATCATGTTTTAAGTGACAAACGAGAAAAACTTTTACTCAGAAAATTCAAAAATCCTATTGATATGGAGATTCAAAAAGAATTAAATAATATCATTGATGAAGGTGAATTTTAACTGACTTATTTTTTATTTTATTTTCTAATTAATAAATTTATTTCCTGTTAATTTATAATAGCATGGCGTCATATGCCACAACAACGAATAAGCCTTGCAAAATTAAACAAAAAACTTGAAGAACTGTCTATGAATTATCCTGCTAGTAATCAAATATTAAATTCATACAAATCAAACTTTTATGAAATGATGGATGAAGGTGAAACGAAAATTAAGGGTTTACCATTTGACCTTATTCCTCTTGAAAAAGGAATCGAACATCATAAAACTAGGGATCACGTAAATGCATGGAAGTGTTTCAAACAGAATTCGGAACTTGGTAATGCATTAGCCAAATATTGGCAAGGATATTATCTATCCAATGAATATAACTGTAATGTTGAAATAGATATGGTGCATGCACAACAACTTTTTAAAGAAGCATCTGATGATGGTATTGCTGATGCACAATATCGATATGCAGCGCTAACGCTTAAAAATCTTAAAAATGAATATTATGATGAAATTAACAAAAGTAAAATGTGCAAAGAAATTGTGCATTATTTTAAATTAGCTGCTGACAATGAAATTCTTGATGCAATGTATTATTTAGGAGATATTTACGTGAAAGGAAAACTTCAGGTGCAAAAAGATGAGGAATTTGGATTACTGTATTTAAAGTTAGCAGCTAATCATAATCATGAGAAAGCAATTCAGTTGTTGAAAGAATTAAATAAGATGAATTAATACATTATTATTATCATTGTTTAAAATATATCTTATTTCAAATGTTTAATATCTACACGGCGTGATCAGAACGGCGTTAGTAGTAATTTATAAATAAACATGGATTAATAATAAAATTTATATTTAAATAATTTGCTATCATATAATTAGTCATAAACAGTAATTCTTATTTTAAGGTTGTAAATTTACAAAAAAATATATTCATGTTTATAAAAGGTGCAAAGAAACTCTGCCATCATCAAAATAATTTAGACTGTTGCTCTAAATTAAACATAATATCCAGTGTTGTTCAATTGAATATTTTAAGCTCACGAATAGAACAATAGAACCTCTTTTTCCATATATAAAATTTTTTATTTGTTTTAAATATTTTGGTAGACTAAAAGGCTGAAAGCATATCTGCAACAATTTAATATAAAAATTTACAATAGAATAATAGAATGTCAACCGAATAATATCGTTCCTGTCTTTATAGGCATTGTTTAAATTTAATCTTCTCATGGAAATTTTACACATAAAACACGTATCAAACAATGTTGACCTATGACCTTATAACCTGTCATTAGTGCTCCGAATCGGGTCGGGTTAATCCGAAAACCGACCCGAAATTTCGGGTCGGGTCGGGTTCGGGTTAGAAAAATCTGATCCGAAAATTTCGGGTCGGGTTCGGATCGGTTTCGGGTTGAACGTTAACCCGAAC